GCATGAATTTGAGTACATTAAAAAAAGACAAAGTACTAAAATTCAAGTTGAATCAAGCATATGAAATATAATAATGTGGGGGATGTAAAGGTATGCTGAATTATTGGAAGGTCCATAAAAGATACTTACATCAAAAGCTTCATATATATCTTTATTTCCTTTAATCTTGAGTTGTATATCATAAAAATTCTCCTCACGACTCGATTCATAAGGAACATGTTTGCATCGGATGTAGGAGAGCATTTTACCGCAGAAAAGTTCGGGAATAGTTCCCTCTACCCTAGTTCCTTTCATCTTATTCTCCATATTGTCCATAAGAACTCGACAGAGTTCCTGGGCATCATGCTGCATAAAGGAATCAAATGTCTCCCAGCCAAAACTTCGTGTTAGCTTTTTGGTGCCACCGGCCTTTTCACCAAATTGTAATTCGTAAAACACTCGTTGCAAAGCAAGTGGCACACTGGTTATTGAGTTGTCACTCTCAGTAGGCATCATAAAAACGGCACGACGAAGTTTATTTGTGAAGTAGAGTGCTTGCAGCAAAGAGTTCATGTAACAGGTTGCACCTTGATTCTTCAGACCAACAAATCCTGTAAAACGCTTGGAGTCCCAATCAACGCCATGCGGTGCATCGGCATGAAGCTTGACTCTTAATATCAGCATATCTCGCTCTAATCCAGGATAATCATTGTCATCTAATTCATCAACTTCACCAGAACAATTTTCAGAGGTTTCATCTTCAGCATCGGCATTATCCCGAGTTTTTATAGCCAAGCTCTGCGAATTTGGGCTTGGAAGATTTGGCTTGATCTGCCTCTTTAGTGGAATAATGAAGCCGCGTTTGGGATTGGTCACCTCGCTCCAGGGTAAAAAACAAGAAAACCCCCAATCATTTTCCTTAAAAAAAAAAGTGTGTTCTATTGGCTTTGTAAGACTTTCACAGCCAACTTTTTGAGCAACAAGTGTGAGTCGAGCACGAGCATGGCAATGCCAGGAAGGGGAAGAGGAATCCGCATTACATTGAAGAAAAAAGCCCATGACACGGTTATTTACTGATTGTGAGCCCAAGGGAAGAACTGGTTGATTGGAAATCCCGTGACTCCCTGTGATGCGTAGCATGCAAAGAATGCGCCATGGAAGGCAGCGTACAATTAGAGATGTTGGGGACAGAATCTATGGGGTGGAGTAATAAAGGACAAAAAAGAATTAATTGATCTTAGAAAAAAATTTGATTAAATATAGATCGAAGTTTTATAACATAATATAACATATCGATCAGAAGTAATCATACCGGATATATTGTAGACATTTATTTATTTGTAAGCTCTAATATAAAATTGAAGAAATCTCAATATTCA